AGCAGCGTCACAATGGCAGCAGCCCACAAACAACACACTGAAATTGTTTGCTTTGTGCCTTTGGCTGGCTGGTTGGTTAGGGAAAAGCCAGCAGTGCTAATAAACAATGGGCCACACGGCCCACGGAAAATGGAAAATGGAAAAATGGGTCCAAGAGGGGCAACCAGGAGCAAGGGGGGCAGGGGCAGACGCATCTGAGACTTCCTACTAGATGTTTTTAGCTGTTTTACGCTTTTAGGGCAATTTGGGGACAACGTGGCGTATGCGTGTCGTGTCGAGTCGTGTCTACGCTGCTGCTGTCTACCGCTGCCTTTGCAGGTGTCAAGTGCCAAGTGTGTAGTTTACCGCAAAGTGCTGCCCCGTATAGTGTGTATAGTTATTCTATAGTATGTATGCATGTTTTAGTTTTCATAACCCGGAGCGCTAAAAAATAACACAACAAAGGAGGAGATTTTCCATTCGAAAGGCACTGCGGCAGCTATAATGGCCACCGCATAACAGGCACACAGGCTGTACAGCCGAGAAAGGACCTTAAATTGTTCAATTCAAAGGCTTCTGCGGAGCATTTACGAGCACACACAACGAGAGTCCTGGGCCAGGACCAAAGGGAAACTCGTTAAATGCCATGGCTGCCTGCATATATTGTTTGTGGCAGCATGTAAAGATGGGCCTCCTTCAAAAGGGAGTGAAAGTTTTCTTTGTCATCTATTAAGGCATTTCCTGCGACTGATTTATCCTGGCTGAAAACCCTTAAAGCTGAAAAAGTTGTATCCACTTTAAGGGAGGAGACTCTAATCTTGGCAGAGCCAACAAATTAATTAGTTTTCAACACTCGAGTTACTTTAAATGGCAATTCGTATAATTAATTTCGCACACATTGGCATCGGAGAAGTGCAAAGCAAATCGAAATCATCAGCAGAGTGGTCGGAAGTATTTGCCAGGCCGTACACTCAAAGAAAAACTCAATAATTTTAGCCAAAGATTTTAGAAATTTTGCATTTTATTTGGATGAAAAAGAAACTATTTTCTTAGGAGCAGTCAAAAATAAAAAAAAATATTTTAAGCAAAAGCAAACCTTTTCTAAATTGTATTAAAATATTTTCAATATTTATTTTAGAATTTTTAAAAACCAGAAAATATAGTGTTTATTCTAGAAATATTTTAGAAATTATTGGAAAATATATTTTTAAGTGTATGCTAGGGCTGAAGTAATAGGACCTTCTGGGCCAGGTCAGGCGTCACACATCTAGAGAAGACACACATATATCTCGATTCACATTCACATTCAGATCCAGAGCCATCGAGAGCCAAAGGAAGCAATTTTCCTGCCGAATGCGTTTGCACAAAGCGAAGATATTGCAGAATACACAGAAGATGCGAATGGTAGCAGTGGTGGTTGGGTTTGTGGCCAGTCGAAGGACCAAGACCCCGAAGGACTCCGAAGGACTCCCAGTGCAATCACTCAAACGGCTAAGAAATCAACTGCCAAAGTCATAAATTTTCGGTTTGCAAACTGCAAATTATTTCAGCATCATCCTTTTCTCCTCCTCGCTTTCTGCTAGTAAAAGTTAAATAATGCAAGGACTGCAAGGACTACAACATGTGAGTTTGTGTGTGGGAGTCTGCTACTCTTCCGACTTTCGGCCCAGTGAAAAATTGTGCAGAAATATTTAAACTGCAATTCCAAAGCGATTTGTTTTATGGCCATCCCCTTTCCCCGTTACCATGCAAAAACCTCGAGCTTTGTTTCGGGACCTAAGCGCTGCGGACCCGGATGCGGATGCGGATCGACTTCCGGTTTCCACTCCGCTGAAAACTTAACTCGGATTTGATGTGGCCAAGCAGCTGTTAATGCTGCATGATTTATGCTGCATGCAGCTCATTATATGCCACTAAATCAGGGGCAGCGGCAAAAGTCGCTCAATGTCGCTGGGAATTTTTCGGGAGATAGACTAGGATGTGTGGTCAATGCACTGCCGCTTCCGTTTCCGGTTTCCGCCCAGTGGTCGTAAATTTCATGCAGCCGCCTCGCTTTGCATGTCCTCCAGTTTTCGCCGCTTTCCCCGCTCCAGTTTATTATTTTATCGGAGCGGCGTCTGCACTCCGCTGGAGCTGCCAATTGTCATTCCAAGTCCGCGTCCGCGTCCTCGTCCTGAGTCGCATCCTGATCCTGGCCATCCTGACAGACCATTGTCCTCCATCCTCTGCCTTCGTATCCTTTGCCGAATGATTTGTTTGGCCGCCTGCAGTTGGCTTCCTCGTTTTTCTTGGCCACCGCGATAAATCAACACTTCATTCCCCCATGGCTGGTGACCCCAACCGGGTCGACTGAGCTTTCGGATTACTATGCATTAGTACGAAATTAGAACTATTATATTTATGGCGCAAATAGTCCGCACATCATTTCTGCAGCGCCCAGGTAAAACGGCAGAAAGGCAAAAGCCAAAAGGGGTAGAGCAAAAAAATAAAGAGGCAAAAAGCCTAAGCTGCTTGCACTGAAAGAAAAGGGAAATTTTACCAAAGGAATTTTATTTGTAGTATTTATGAAAAATTTTAAAAAGGCTACTTCAAATCTAATAAAATATTTTATTTTCTCGCTTTCCTTTTATAAGATACTTGATCTTGAATTAAAAGCTGACAAAAAATAATTAATTTTTGTCGCAGCCTTTGGTCATAACTTTTTAATGAATAGCCCGGTTTAAAATTTTCTTCTACATTTTGAAAGGTATTTTCAAACATAACAAAATTGCATTCATACCTTTTAATCTTTGACTCTACGAGTAACGGGTATTAAAAGTTTTTTTAACAGCTGATATTATGACTAATTAATTTTCTCAGTGTATCCACAGAGCCATTAGACACGCCTAGCAGTCACTGTCTGGCGTTGGGCTGTAATAAAAACATAAAATGTTGCACATTATGCAAACAAATCCACATGCACAGTGGCTCCCACACACAAACACACACACACATTTAAGCTTTGGCGATGGCGCCGCAAGTCTAACGGTTTCGTTCGCCATTTGCAAACACACACGCACACACGCAAGGACGAGGACGAGGACGCACACAGATACGGTTGGATACCTTGTGCTAAGCAAACTTTAGGCCCTGTGAGTGTGTGTGTGTGCGGAGAACATTAAATTTATTTGAAATTATTATTATGCGCATTTACCTAACATTTGCATAACCGTCAACGGTTTGCAGGATTCGCAGGAGGAGCCCTTCTCGGCGGGCCAATTTGCGAGTGAAATGTGGAGGGAAAATGGGGAACTGGGCCAAAGCAAAAGCCAAACAGCTTATAATATGATTGAAAAGTCCGCGAGGAGTGATCCTGAAATGAATCTTCTTTAGAACAGCGATTTTCCGTTCTTTTAAGAGCATTTTTCACGCCGCAGGACCTGAAATATTTTGTCAACTGTTATGGCAAACAATATTATGCATTCGCTTAATGCTCTAGTTTATGGCCCAAACTACTGACCGGCATAAATAAGCAGCGGTGAAAAAATGAAAAATGGTTAGCCAGCGCAAAAAATATGCATACCATATACCATGAAAAATAAAAACATGGAGCATAAATTAAAAGCAACGTGCACTAGATTCGCCCACATTCGCCAACACACAAAGCTGCACACACATCGGAAAATTGTTTTAAATAATTAAATGCTGGCGCTGCACTTATTTACACCATTTACCAAACTGTGTGCACTAGGTGTGCATGGAAAACAAGCTAAATGGCGATGCGTTTGCAACTTTGGAGATACCCTATTAGAATATGGAAACTATTTTCATTTGAGACAGGTAAGACGAATTTAATAAAGTTTTGAAATCACTAACAAAGGTGTCTAAAAGTATGCTATGAATATATGAACATGGCCTTTCGAAATAAATGCAAATAAATTGTTGCATAGTTTTAGGCTCTTCATAAAGTTATTTCAAAACTCCAGTCATTTTGATATCCAATTATTTCATATGAATATAAATAGTTATCTTTAACATTGTTCTTCATACTATTTACCTTTAGTTAATCCTATCTATTAAATCCTGCAATTTTAATGCTTGAATGTCTTTTTTTCTATTATCATAAGGCATACTTCTAAGGCCCATTACATATTTTTCTGGATTCAGGGTGAGCCCTAGTTACACCCAGAAAAAAATCCGTTCGAAACGTTCAAAAATCAAGCCCAAACGGGGTCAAAAAGTGCGTAAGCCCGTTTGTTGTCAGTTCATGAACGCTTGTTCATAAAAATTGAACGAAATATTTGGGATGCTTTACGAACGAATGGGGTCACTTTTAGAACATTTTGGGGTCAATTTGAGAACAAAAGTTCATAAAAAAAAACAAAAATAAACAAGATTTCTGGACTTGCCACTTGCTGTTTTTACTGTGCGCCTGGTAGAGATGTATTTAATATTATTTTTTTTAGTGGTTGAATTATTTTTAATGCATGTTATATTTTAGAATTTGTTGTTGTCATATAATTTATTTATTATTAGAAGTACATATTAACATTTGAAATAATATTTTATAAAAACTTACGATTCACGACGTCCTCTCGCGGGCTCGAACCTGGGCTAGTCTATGTCAAAGGCGGACGGTCTAACAGCTGGACCACGGAACCAATTTTTCAAGTACGGACAAACGGGGCACTAGACTTGCATGTTTTTCGGTCCGGGCAAGAAATAGTTTATGAACAGCGTTCGCAATTTCAGAACCATTGTTCATAATCTGACCACAATCGTTCAAAGCTCAACACTTTTCTGTGACGCGTTCATAATTTTACCAAAAAGTTCATGATTTGACCCCGCGGCGTTCGTTTTTCATGAACAAAAAATAGCGAACGGATTGTTCGTAAATCAAGAAAAATGTTCTTGATTTTTTTCGTTCTTTTTTTTCTGGGTGTACCATAACCAAAAACCTTTTCCGAATCCTTTGCACATGTTTGCGACCGAATGCTCGCATAGAGATGTTTTTACGTATGCCTACACACAATAAAATTATATAAATATTGCACACAGGCAATGTGGCTGGCTTTTACTTTATTTCACTGCTCGTTCATTTTATTGTGATCCGATGATATTTTTTTGTGTGCCACCTAGACTCCGCCCAGTGCCAGGGAGTTGGAGAGAACGAAGGATTGCTGGCTGGTGACCGACTTCTGCCTGCCCTCGAAGTCCACATAGATGTCGAACTGCAGGTCGAAGATGCTCTCCTCGCTGGCTTTCATCCCGAACACGCCCTTGATGGTTTCACCCGCGTTCACGGGGAGTGGGGTCTCCAGATAGAAGACCGTCTGATTCCAATGGGTCCACGGAGCACAGGGCGATGTGCTGAAGCTGATCCTTTGCGCCGTCTTGCTGAATCCCACATCGAAGTATGCCACCAGGGCATGAACCCACCCGTTTCGCGTGACCTTCAGTTCGTAGAAGGAGCGAAAGTTGGCGGACTGCCGCTGCACCGTGTAGAGGTCCAGCGATTTGACCAGGCACACCTTGCTCATCACCTGGCCGCCGGTCACGTGCTCCAGCACCGCCTTGGACTCGCAGCGACGACGAATGGCCGACAGGTCGAAGCCGTGGACATCGTGCCAGAAGCCGAGATCCTGGTCCCTTCCCCGGATGGCCGCCAGATAGAGCTGCGCCGTGTCCGGATAAATGTGACCGCCGGCGGATAGCCACTTGTCCCGCGCAAATATCACTGAGTCCAGCATATTCTCAGAAAACAGGCAGTGGCTGTGGGGAAAATTAAGGACAGATAAATAAAAAAAATAGCAATACAAATATTTAAATTCTCTTATTTATATATAGCTATTATATTTTTTGTATTTATCTGTCCTTAATTTTTAGTATTTTATATTCTACCTACCCAATCCAGTCGCACACAATAATGTCCACCTTATCGATATCGCTTGACAGTTCAATATCCTCCACTTTTCCCCTGATCACAGTTATGACACCGCCGTATCCATTATCCTTGGCAATCCGTTCTGCAAAATCCGTGATGCTGGCCGCATCCACAGCCAGGACCTTTTTGGCGCCCGCCTTGGCTGCAAATATCGAAAGCATGCCCATGCCACAGCCCACATCCAAGACGGTCTTTGGGTTCGGGTTCAGGGATCTCTTTTAGAAGGAAGCCTTACTTTAGTAAGTGGCAGCTACCCACCTTGTTCTTGAAGGACTCGTTGTGAAGAATAGCCTCGCGAAAAGCCTTAACTCGCACAACATCCTTCATCAGCCACTCATGCACTTCGATGCGGCCGTAAATATTGAAATACAAAGTCTCCTGTTCACGACGATCCATTATTCGCTTAAGTTCCAGGTCAAAATCACCATCTGCATCCATCTTTAAGTCTCTTATATTTCTATAAAATTTACAAAATATTCCCAACGTAAATCCCACAGGTATGTGGATGTCTTAGAACTGACAAAAATACCAAAGGCCTTATTTCGTTGGTTGCTAGTTTTTCATAATTAAATCCTTAAATTACCAAACCAACCATTGCACCCCCCGCACGTGCATTAACTAATTAAAAAGCTCATTAGCGTACATAAATCAGCGTTATGCAGACATAAATTTCATTATTACATCCCAGCCAGCTCCGCTGACCTACTCCCACTGCTCTCCGTCCCAGGAACAAAAGGACGAAGGACGAAGGATGATGATGAAACAAGTTTGGTGGAGGAAGCCACCGGACGAGGGATATCATTCACTCAGATCCCATTCCATCTAAGAAGCCCTAAGAATCCTCAGAAAACAATGTCTTCGTCTAGTCGGGCTCGCAATTATGGCCACACTGCTTCCGGACATTCCCAATTCGATTGTGGGACTGGGAATGGGAATCGGCAAACGGGAAAGTGAAAAGTGAAAGATGCCCTTCCATTCCCCGTATTATTTTTTTAGGTTTTTTTTTCTTCGCCTTTAGCAGCAACAATCGCTGGATTCTTGACTTAAGCAGGGCACAGCAGAGCGTGAAAACATCATAAAGATGAGAAATTATTATCTGCTTCATATATACAGGGGTTTGGGGGCTTTAGGAGCAGGGGAGCGGCATTTAGCTGCTCTGTTAGCGGCCCTGAATGAAATATCACATCCTGCAGAGGAATAAAAATCAGCGTCGGTAAAAAAAAAGTACACACACATAAGAGAAGTAAGCAGGAAGCATCCGGAGCTCGAACAGGAAGACGAAGATACTGTGCACACACCCACTGCCCCAGACGAACGATAAACGCTCGCAGCGTCAAAAGACAATGATGAGGCAGGATGGTCCGGGGATAAATGCACAGGGAGAAAAGTGTATATGATTTGACATAATATATAAAACGAAAAATATATGGAGTATGGAAGGAAGACAAGAAAAGATTAATGTAGCCAAAGTAATCTACAGAAAGAAATTTTGAAATAATCTATAAAAGGAGTTGAATGCATATCCCAAACTATAAAACCTATTGCGTCTAGTTTTTTTTCTAAATATTCTTTATGTAATACAAGGTTATGCTAAGAAATGATTTAACCTTAAGTCATCCCAATTTCCTAAAATTTTTTTGTGAATTTTTTTAAAACTTTGAAATATTTTTTTTGTTAGTGAGTTGCTCTACTTTTTTTTCTCTGCATGGGCCTAAATCGGTTGAGGAATATGGTAGCTGGCAAATAGAAAAAATAAAAGCCAGCCTCTGGTCTCTGGGCATCAAAAGTGACGAAAAATTGTAAAAATAAAATATAATGGCAACGCAGGACTGACTCGTCCTGGACTCGGGCGATAATTTTTTATTTGTATGCCTGCCGTAAGCCAAAAGCAGGACGAAAAGGGTGATTGGGTGGTAGTGGGTGGATCAAACACACACACACAAAGATACACACCTACAGGAGACAAATACAAACACAAACACTTTGCGGCCATCGCCGTCAAGCTGCGCGTTATCCTTTGTGTAATTTCTGGTTTAATGAGGCGGCAGTGGGATGGTGGGTCCACCCAAGCCCATAGGTAAGCATTTTTACACTCATACATTTTTACGACTCGAGCATTAAGTTAAAATTTGTGTTAAATATTTTATTGTTTTTATGGCCACATGAACACCTTGCAGCGACACGAGCCGGGCAAATTATGAGATTCAAGGGGAGCTGAGCTGAGATGCCAGCCACTGGGGAGCCGGCGACTGGGATCAGGAGCCATATTTCAAGGACCTCTATGTCCTTGCTTATGCACGGATACAAAGGAGCCACAGGAAAATAGAGATGCCATGGCATTTCATTTAAAATATCATATGATTTTATTAAAACGTGAGTTAGTTCGCAGTAATAACATTTAATAATAATATTAATTTACGTCCTGAACTAATAAGCTTATTGTTTTTTATTGTAGTTTTGTGAAGTTTGATTCTAGTCTGATTCTATCTTTCACAACAGATCTGTGCGTAGATGAGTTTGGTTTATGTCAAAGACAAAAACAAAGTCATGAGTTTTAGTATCATAAGAACAAGATAATACATTTATTTAATGTTTTAGTTATTATAATTATTTTAAAAAATATTCAGAAATTATAAACCATTGAAATATAAAATTTTCCTATAAAAAATGTAGGGGAGAGTGGGGGAATTTCGTCACAGGGGCAATTTCGTCACCTGCAATATCTCGGAATCCATAAGTCGTAAAAATATATAATTTTTTTGTTTTAGTCCTTCAAGACGGCCAGTCACAACCAATGCACTTGTTTTGCACAGAAGGCCAAGATAATAAATCTATAATATTAAATGTGTTTTAACAGTTCAAAAGCTACATTTAGTTCTCGACGAAATGTTTTTTGTATGCCACAATTCAAAAGGAATAAGATACACGATTTTTTATATAATACACAGTGCTATAATGTGCATTTCTGCGTTAGTGATTTTTAACTTCGCGCCTAATTTCGGAAGAAAAATAATTATTTCTAAAAAAGTACGGTCTGGGGAAATTTCGCCACCCTACGCTAAGGGTAAATTCGCACCTATTTTAAATACATATTTTTATATTTGACGAGCTGGCTAACGAACAGACTACCGGCAGCAGCAACAAATATAGGACGTCAACAAAAATGGTACGCTTGATCAGTGTAGCATATTTACAGGCGTTAAACTCCCTACATTTTTCAGGTGACGAAATTTCCCCAGTTGTGTGGCGATTTTACCCCTGTATGTGGTGAGATTGCCCCAGTACATTGGTTTTACTTTTTAATTTTTTATAAATCACCAAGGTAATTAAAAAAATGGGGGAATGTCACATTTTAAAGCTTAGTGCTAACCGCATTCAACAATAAAAATAGAAATATGATAACGTGTCTCAAGATGGACAAAAAATAGCTTGAAACAAGAGAGAACGCTATAGTCGGGTGCCCCGACTATCAGATACCCGTTACTCAGCTAAAGGGAGTGCGAAAGAGATGGAGAAAAACTTTGATCCGCCGTAACTTTTTAACGAATGGTCCGATTTAAAAAATTTCTTCTACATTTCGATAGGTATTGATAAACACAATAAAACTGCATTTTTACTTTTCCAAAATATTGAAATTTTTAAAATCGTATATATGCGATTGTGGGCGTTAGAGGGGGCGTGGCACCCTTTTGAAACAAACTTGCGCTGCGTAGGAACTCCTAGAATCTGCATGCAAAATGTCAATCTTCTAGCTTTTATAGTTTCCGAGATCTCAGCGTTCATACGGACAGACGGACAGACAGACAGACGGACAGACGGACAGACGGACAGACGGACATGGCTAGATCGACTCGGCTAGTGATCCTGATCAAGAATATATATACTTTATGGGGTCGGAAACGCTTCCTTCTACCTGTTACATACTTTTGCACGAATACAATATACCCTTTTACTCTACGAGTAACGGGTATAAAAATGCTGACGAAATTCCCCCACTCTCCCCTATGTAACTTTTTGTTCTTTGTGTTTTATTATATACTCAAATCTATGGCTACTAAGAAATTATGCTTTAAAAGTCATTACTTAAAACTATTAATTATTTATAAGGTCTGGATGAAAGAAACGTATTATTTTCATTTCAATCTAATTCTTTTATTTTTGAAAAACCACACATTTATCGGGCACTCCCAACACTTTCCGGTAACTCTCTGGAGGACCAAAACTGGACTCCCTCTACGTGCGGTCATTAATAGTTGCCAACTGTCCCTAGATTGTTTCACTCATACCGATAATCTCGACACTTCCTGGCCCTGCTGAGCTCAAACAAATTGAGATTTCGGGGTGATTATGAAATTGGCAATTAGTTGACTGAGTTGTGACAGCTGCTCGGGGTTGATTCTATTCCAGGTAGAATCGACTTCAGGGCGAACATATGGCCATACGGCACTCAACCATTCAGGGAATCGCACTTGACAGACAGTGAAGGCCCCGTCGACTTGTAGACGAATAAAACACTCTGGGAGGCATTCACCTGTCTGCCTGAAGTCAGAAATTAGTGACTTGGCTGCATTCAAGGGGGCGTTATTATCCTATACGGCCATACGATATCCTATTAACGGGGGCCGAGTGAATTATGATTACGGGTTGGCATGCATGGGTTTATGGCAGTATTTGCAGATTTATTGCAGCTAAAAATCAGCGCTAATATAATGCATAAATCACGGGGTGCCTAAGTCAACATATATAAGGCAAGGTATATGTGTGCCAGTTGCACCAGGAGGAGCAAGTCCTGTGAACCAAGTGAAATTCAGCGAAAACGAAACATTTTGGAAAAGTCGTTGGGTGGGTGGTTTTTGGGATTTTGGGTGGTAATTTCAGCATATTGAGGGCGTCTCTCTCTCAGAGTATTTCCTCTAGGACTTTTCTCCTTTGCAGATTTTCGCGCAGGCGCTCTGATTTTTCAACTTCCAGTGGCGAAGTTGTCCTCTCTCTCTCTCGCTGCAAGGGAAATATTTTTGGGGGAAACTGGGTTTTCTCGGCCACAACCAGCAGATGTTGGCTAATTAAAGCATTACAACGTAGGTCAGGCTCGTCGTCGCGAGCCGTGGGAATTTTATGACTGGCCAAAAGTGACGATGCAAATGGACCATCATCAAGATGCATACAACATCCAAAGTGCAGGTAGAAATTATACAGCATAGATCACCAAAGATGATGTACCGCATTCTTGGGCATAATTAAAAAGCCATTTAAGAGGGGGTCTAAGTTTGGGTTCGCTCGCATTATCCAATTATTTGCCCCATGGCAGCAGGCGTTACGGTTCTACGGCTACTCAAACAGAAATGTTTTGGGTGTTTGGCACTTAACACATTTCCAAATGGCTTCACTTTTTTCTTTCGTTTTTCGTTTTTAAGCGGGCTGCGCCGGCGCTTTCCTCGTTTTCTGAGCGCCAAACGGGTTGCGGAGTTTTAGCGGAGAAACTGGTTTTTGGGTCACAGTCACATCGAAGGGCCCGCCGACAGCCGAGAACAGGTAAACTCGAGATAATTATTCAATGAAGCCGAGAAGAACAGGGCTTCCCACACGCACACGAAAAAAGAGTTGGTGACCAATGAGTTTGGTAATTTAACCATGCAAATTTTTGTTACTGCAAAAATAATGTCTTTTTTTTAATCTTTTACAAATAATTCTTAAGTATTTTTATAGGGTAAGAAATTACTATTTAGTGTGTTAAAAAATCATAAACTTAATTTTGATTAGTCTCTAAATATTTATTTTGGACAAATTGTTGTTTAATTATTATCAAAACATTTGTTTATTTCCCGAAAAAATAGTATTATATACATATTACATTTAATACTTTTTTTTAATAACAATTTTTAATTTATAAAATTTTACAATTAAATCAAAATAAATTATAATCTCAATTAATTTTTTTATATTATTTTATTTTGTTTAATATCTTCTTAATCATGATTAATGATCATTTTACAAATATAAATAAAGTTAATACAAAAATCTTTAACGTATTAGTTCAAGGACTAGCTACACTCAGGGAAAAAATTGTTCTGATTGTGTCTGAAAACGTGTCTGTTTGAGTCTCAAAAATAGCTTTATACCGTTTGGTATCATTATAAGAAAATATGGTATTATTTTAAGAACGGATTTTTAAGACCGCTGTTCTTACTTTAAGAACGAAACGTACTTAAATTTATATTTATTTTTAGTAAAAAAAATATATTTCTTTGAATGCTCCTGTAAGCATTCTGCCATGGAAGGAAATAATAAGGGCATGGCCCAGGGGCCAAGGTGCTGGATTCTGGTATTATTTTGTGTTTGGGGGTACGAGGTTCAATTCCCGCTCACAACACAACTTATTTTTTTTGTTTTGTAATTAGTAAATTAACAATTTAACTTTTTTAATACATTTTTGTTCTTAAAGTTATAAAGGAAATGTTAATTGAAATACATTTGAAAAACTTTTTACTTACTTTGACTTATTCGGTTTTTGAACCGGGGTCCTCTCGCATCAGAGGCAGACGCCTTACCAACTGGGCCATCGCACCGTGCTTCGCGCGCGTGCATAAGTTCAACTTAAATCTAAATTTACTGGTCTTAAATCAATACCCTTTGGTATCAATATAAGAATATGGTCTTAAAAAAATAAAAGAACAAAACGGTAGTAATGTAAGAAATTCGGTCTTAGATTTTTTCGGTCTTTTTTTTCTGGGTGTAGGTACAACTTTTTATTTGACCCATTTGAGCAATGTATTTTTTTCGAGTGCACTCTCCTGAGTTCTCAGGTTCTCTGTGGTCCGGCGGAAAGCCATGTCAAAGGGTTAGGACAGGTTCGCTGGCACTCCACTGGATTCCCTCGGCCCAAAGCCGAACTGAAGTACAAAAACCGAGTAGGAAACCGAGACCGAGTTGGCCAGCATCAGAGAATATAAGAGAATGTATGCTGCGCACATGCCCTCTCTATCGCTCTTTCTCCCCGGAGCAGCGCTCTCTCTCTACCTCTCTCTTTCACTTCTGCAAATGCCGTCTCTTTTTCGAGTGGCAAATGGAGCACTCCTGACGCAGATTCAGTACTCAATTGTTGTTCCACCACGGCGTACGTGAACGCGGACGAAATAGAGCCGCATTTTCCCATCCGAAAAGCAATTCAAATCTCACTTCTATCGTAAGTGCTGTCTCGCTCTAGCCTTTGTCCCTGCGAGTGAGCGTGTTTGTGAGTGTGGCTAGGAAAATTGTATGGAAATTATGGATACGAAAAATAATCACGAGTGAAAACAAAAAGAAAAACAAAGCAAAGCGGGCGGCAATCAAGCGAAACGTCACAAAATCCCAATCACCACCGGAAAAAAGGGGTGGGAAAACGCTCTCCCATTTGTGCGTGTGTGCGTGCTCGACTGTGTGTGTGTGTTTGTGTGTAAAAGTGGAAATTCGCTCGCGTTTTCGGCACTTTTCAGAATCGGAAAAACAGGACCACACCCGCGCGGGTGCAAAACTTGAAAATGGGGGAAAAAAAGGCAGAAAGGCCAAAGAAAAACAGCGCTGCAAGAAAAATTCCCAATTCCAGTTTCCCAAAAGGATCGTAGGGAGAGAAAAAGAGAGAGGCAGAGAGTTATAAGAGTCGTTTGGAAAACTTGTACTGCCTGGAAATTCTTAGCGAGGGGGGTTTTTTGGGCCAGGACAGTTGCGCAAGTGAGCAGTTCCCGTTATTGGGGAATTTTAGCCAACAAGATAGACGTTACGCATCAGCTGTTTGCTTAAAAGCAGAAAACTAGAGAGTCCTTAAACTAAAGAAATTTTAAAAAAATATACAGAAACATAAAAAAAAAAATAGTTTACTTATTTATAATAATAAATTGCAAAAACATTTTTTATAAAAAAAAAAAAAAAATGAAAAGTATGCTTAATTTAATAAAATAATATGCAAATCTTCTCTTAAAAATAAAAAATTATTATATTATTTTTAAATTCAAAGCCTTTCAACCTTTCCTTCCAAATAATATTGCCAAAAAATTAAACCCCTTATTTTCCCGCGGAGCACTTTTCCTTCTGCTGCTGCTGCTTGGAAAACTGGTTCTCTCTGTTTCTGTTTTTTGGCCGCTGTGCAGCCGCCGCGATTTTCCAGCTCGCTGTTCGACAGACCCGTCAGTCGGAGTTTTCAAAAATTGCTGGCAATTGGTGTGGCGGCGACGCACAGCTGTGAGCTTCTTATTTTCCGTTTCGACCTGTGATTTTGGACTCCTTACCCCCTGAAAAAACGGGATGAAACACAATAGGATAATATATTTAAATATATATAAGCCCCATCTCGTGAAAGGACAATTATATAATGTTTATAAGGCGTAGCCGCCCATGAGTCACGTGTTTCGCAGTGTATGTGTCTGTGTGTGTTTGTGTGCCAGTGAAATAATGAAAGCCAAAGGACCCCCTTTTTTGTTGACCAGACGCGACAATTACCACATCAAAAATATGGCCGAAATACCCATACGATATTCCTATTTTTATGCCGTATTGATTTTATTTGTTTGTGCATAAAAGCCGCCCCTGTGTGTTTTTATATCGCCATTTATTTAACGCCTTATGTCTTATGATTTTTCGCCATCCATCCATCCATCCATTTCCCTCAATCAAATAGGAATAACATAAAAATCCTTTGTGCCAGCCCCACGTTAAAGTCAACGGTTTCAAAAGTCCTTCGTCAAAAGAGAAAAAATAAAAACACGCATACGCCCCAGTGTACTCGAAGTCGAAAGTGTCATAAAGTATGCGATTATCCTGTAAACAAAGTGTAAAACGCGCCCAATAAACGCCGAAAAAGCAAGAAAGAACGAAAGGCAAACAACAAACAACTCCCGGATTTTACGACTTGAGCAATCAATTCCGCTCCGGTCACTTGAGGACTCTCCAGGACTCTCCAGGACTCTCCAGGATTTCCCCATACTTTGGTAGAAAACTATAGAATCGGATCTGGGCACGTCGTATAATGATTGCGCAAGTGAGGTGAGTCAGCCAAACATCGATATTCTGAAATTACTATTGCTCCTCGGGGGAAAAATGAAACTAAAACTAAAACATTTAACTGCAGCTGACGAGGGAAAAGCCAACACACACACATATATTTAGAACCATCGAACAATCAAACACTCCAAAGTCCGCAGGCTAGAATTTAATTAAAATTTATGAAATTTTCAATTACACTGGCAAGTGTAAATAAGTGCGAGTGCGAGCATTATGGGGCCCAATTCAATTACGGAATATCTGAAAGGCCAGAAAAAACACACTCTCGCCCGGAAAAACAAACAACCGAACTGAACTGAACTGGGCCAGAAAACAAACGGCAAATGTTAGGAGTGGTTCGGTTTTTGCGAGGGGCTTGCAGTTTGATTGGTTTTGTGGCTTTGTATCCCCATCATCATCTGCCTCAGACTTTTAGGCATGGAATAGATAGATGGATTGACCATCTGCAGTTTGGAAATAACGAAGCAGCAAACATGTGTAACCGATGACGACAAAGAGACAGAAAGATAAAGACAAAGGGTTATTAGTGGTTCGGGAAGGGCCCAGGAAATTGCAATTTCCATAGGGGAATACGGATACGGATCCATGGTTTGCCAACTGCGTTTTTGCGCTTCGCTTCACTTGCTTTTCTTGTCTTGGCAATCATTTATTCGAATTTTCTAACCCCTCCTCTCTAATATTGATAAATGAAACAGTTTGGGGAAAGGATTACCCAGTCCAAAGAACTAAAATAAAACATATATTTTCGAGTCGAGTCCCTGAAATGCCAGCAATCATCGTCGGATCGATTTACCATCATGGTACACTATAGTATACCATGGTACATGGGAGATATTATATTTACATGTAAAGGCTGTAAGTGGGTGCTTGCGTGACTGCCGTCTAAGGTCACTTGGTAACCTATTCAAACGAGTTACGACCTCGCTTAGCGGCGATAACGATTACGATAACGATAACTATGCGACCACACGAATGCAGTCAAAAAACTGACGCGCAATATGTGTAAACATAAACAAGAAATTGGGGCCACAGCTTCGATTGATCGAAGATCTCGATACTCTATGAAAATGCGTCATTAAATATTTTACAAAAATCTTTTAAAAAGTTATGAACATAAAATACATTTTTTAAAAGGAATAATTAAATGATGTTATAATAAAATAGAAAGTTTTAAAGTGCCTTTATGCTTATTTAAATCAAAATAAATGGTATTTTAATGGCAAAAATATTTCAACAAGATTTTATTTCTTTATCAATACTTAAACCGTCGTTCTATTTTTAAAACCATTTTTTTAAAGCTCTATTTTCAAAGCATTAAACTGAAAATATATGAATAATTTCCATGCCTATTAATTTTTCAATACCCAACTTTTTTTTTGTTTTCTTGGGTCTTTCAAGTCTGTTTATAAGAAAGTGTACCTTCAGTTTCGTTATGAAAATAAGGCACCCAGTTCAAAACAAAAGCGATGCGGGGAACGGAAGCCGTGGTCAGTCAGTCAGTGAGTCTGCTTAGAGGTTTTCGTTTTTTTTTTTTTGCTTCTCTGGAATTTCTGAGCTTCGGGGTCCGAGTCGGATTATCCAACAATGTGAACTAGAGTGGACCCCAAAAAGCTGAGGCCTGAGAACTTTATCAGCGACTCTGTGTTTGGGTATACACACTCCATGCCCCACACTCTCTTTCGATCGGACAACTCCAGAGTTGGCGCCCAAAACAAAAACTGGCGCACATAATGGGACCGAGCGAAACTCGAGCCCAAAACACAAGTCCGAGATGAAGGCGTAGAAGTTTGGATGGTGGTCGGTGGATGGGGGAACTTGGGATCTCTGCTACAGATCGGCTTACACTTGGAGTTCAGTTGTACATATACGGGTTATGTACATCATTGGACTTCAGGTCTTCAGGTCTTGTGGTCTTTTCTGGCCGTATAAGAGAGCCTCGGTCCGACTCGAACTTGTTTTTCTTTTGCCGCGATAGATACACAGAATTTCCTGCAGCAGCCGTTTGTTCCTGTATTGACGTCAGATGGAAACACAGCATGCAATTTGCAGTCGACGATCGACGGTGCAATGGCAACAACAGGGGACAGGTAGTCACACAGAAAGAAAAAATGTTGAGGATTGTAAAGAATTTATAAAATATTTTGATTTATTGATTTTCATTGACTCTCTGTTTAACAATATTCTCATATTAAATTCGAGTATCTGTATTTATTTAAAATGTTGGAAATATTATAGATTGGTACTCTCATAAAAATCAATATTAAAACACGGGAAAAATAAATTGTAGAGTAATGAGACTATCACATACCCGTTACTCATGTGAAGGGAGTGCGAGGGAGATGATTGTTATGGTGTTAAAATTTTTGATGGCTCCATCTAGCGGCTATTTAAAGCTTTGCTCTAAACTTTTTAACAAATGGTACGATTAAAAAATATTTTTCTAAATTTTTATAGGCATTTTTAATCACAACAAAATAATAATAATAAATGAATAATATTTTTTTTTGGTGCAGGGAAACCAACTCTCAAACATTCCCACACATCACGCTCAGGTGGAGTTGGGCGGGAATGGTAAGGTATGGGTATGGGTTCTGTATAGTGCGGTATAATATAGTAGTACCACATGCAGGGCTTCGCCAGAAGGTGCACCACTCAAACTCAACTCAAACTGAAACTCATCGCACCTCTCGGCACCACTCACCCACATCCACGTCCACATTCACATCCACATCCTGGTGACGCTTTGTTCTTGGCTCTTGTTTTTCTGTTTTCGTTGGGTTTTTACACTCCATTGGCAGTGAAGCGTTAAAATTGACCCAGTTGTTGATTTATTTTTACAGCACTTCGTTGGTTGGGCAGTGCAATTCGAGTCGTGGCATTTCTCCTGCAATTGCAATGCCCTCCTGCTCTGCAGAAAATAATTCAAATTGAAAAGGATGAAGAGCGAGAAAAAACAATGCGAATTTACGTTTCGATTTAAATGCATGAAATTCGCATTTCCGAATTTCCGAATAAAAACTCGGCACGATCGAATCGCATCGAATCGCTTTAAGGTCTCGAGCTCGGAGCTCCGTGCACGAATGCATTTTCAATTTGCTGGCTAAAAATTCCGGAGTCGAGATGGCTGAGAGGCAGCAAGTTTGCAGTTCAAGTTGAAAATTGTTTGCATTTTTTCGCTTGCGATAAAAAATAAGTACTGGTTGCTATATGGAAAGAGGCCCTCTTCCCAGATAAAAAAGGGAGAAGAACTCTGGCAGAGACAACTTTGCCTTCCCCCTGTTCTTTTTTTTGTCTCGTTGTTACTTCTCTTTTAATAACTATGCGGGCTGCTTTTTGTTTTCTTAGGGCCAAACTTCTGGCCCAGAAAGAAAAGCGGGGGTTGTGGAATGGAATTGCTGAAAGTTTAAGTGCAAAGCCGGAGAAATTAAAATATTTCCAGGCTGCAGCTTAAAGTTTTGCATTTGAATAAAATGTAACGAATTCGGGGTGGTTAACCAATTCGAAAAGGGCCACTCTGTAGTCCTAAATATTTTTCCCAGACGACCAGGAATGGCTGTTCATTATTTCGCAGCGACCATTAAAGTAATTTGCCACACTTGTCGCCGGCCATTAGGCCCCATTAAAGCGCAATCAGAAATCTCTGGGTTCCCCCCTTTTCCCGTGTTTTCCCTTTTTTTTGACCAATACTCAAGTATCAATTTGGACGGCGGAGGCGAAAAAGTTGGCAAAGTGTTGCCGCTGCACGAAACCCTTTTTATTAGTTTTCAGATATCGACAGGCAGCCCCTGCAGGAGTCCCTGCTTTTAATAAGGACATTCAGGCCACAGCGGCAAATAGTTCAATGGACTCGTCAAATCGCCCGTTTTCGGTATTGGTTGGTTGCCTTTTTTTGCTGTTGTTCGCCATAAGACGCAGCTTAGCCAGGGAAAATCAATATCCCAGCAAGGTCCTGCGCTGCCTGAAAAATGTTTGAGTTTTCGAAAATAAGTGCCCTGCACGGTGCAAAGAAGTTGAATATTTTATTCAAATGCCAAGGATTTAAGTTACCGAAGGCAGGAAGGAAAATAACGTACGGTAATCCATCTCCTCTTTCTGAATTTAATATTGAAAATATTTGTGAGTGCGGCTAGAAATACGATTTGTGGATTGAAATTAGAAAAAATGTAATTTAATGATTTTTAAATATTAGAATCCTAAAGTAATTTAATTCAGAGGATATATTATATCTTGTTCTAAAAAATAATGCCTTTTGTTGCTATACATTTACGATCTCTTTCTCCAGCTAAAATATTATTAATTAACTATTTTATTTCCTTTATTTTACTTACTTAATTTACCAAATTGAATTTCGGTACTTAAGGCTCTATAAATTTTCGTTCCCCTCCTACACCTAAAATATTAGTTAATTCAATAACTATTTATTACACCACAACTGCTTACAGTTTCGCTCTGTGTACAACAGCAAACATCTGCATCTGGTCAGGAATGGAGGTCCTTTGGCTCTGGGGCCTTGTTGTTTACTTATTCAATTTGGAGCTGTTTGAACTGCGCTGATATGCCCATTACAAGGTGCCCAGCCAGCTATCGAGTGTACGACGTGCTCCATGGCGTATACGTAATTACGTTTGTCGCTGCTCCACCTACTTTTACACCACCGCTTCTCCCCCCTGCGATTGCCACTTTAAAGCATGGAAATTTATTTATTGCATAATGGGAAAAGTTTTGCACTTCAGTCATGATTTGCCCCCCTCCTCAGTTCATCTCCATCTCTTGTGCTATTCAACTCGCAGCATTTCATTTGATGCAGCGACCAAAAGACGTGCGTAAACAGGGTGGCCATGGGATCCCCGGCATCCTGGTATCCTTGGGATCCTTTAGCCTCCAAGTCGGGGGCGTCGAGTGCTAAACTTTTTTTGCCCGAATCCCGTTTGGCTCCGAACTCGAAATCAACTTTATGCCGAGGCAACGGCAGCAAAGTTTAT